TTCAGCAACGATTTAAAAATCTCAACAGTCTGAGCGATCTTTCAATTCTCTGGAAAACAGTTCCACAATTTTGGAGCAGCAACCGCAAAAGCCCGAGCACCTCTGGATTTCAGTTTGGATCTGGGGACATCTAAGAGGAACTGGTTGGTAGACTGGAGTGCTCTTACTGGAGTGTAGATGTTAATAAGATCGCATAAATAAGACGGGCCAGACCTTTTAACACTTTAAGAACAAGCAATAAAATCTTAAAATCAAACAAGAAGTGAACAGGAAGCCAGTGAAGAGAAGCCAGAACGGGGTTATGTGTTCATATATTTTAATTGCTGCTAAAAGACGAGCTGCTGCGTTCTGGACAGATTGTAAGCGATGCAAAGATGATTTGTCTAAACCCACATACACTGAATTACAGTAGTCCAAACGAGAGGTAATAAAAGCATGAATCACCTTTTCAAGGTCTCTGAAAGGGAGACAAGACTTCACCTTGGCAATGAGTCTTAGCTGGAAGAAACTGGATTTCACGACTGTATTTATCTGTTTGTCTAATTTAAAAGCACTTTCAAAAATAACTCCCAGATTCCTGACATTGGAGTGGCTGTATGAAGCCAAGAGTGTCAAGGGTGTTACATTTACCAAAGCTGATGACTTCCGTTTTATTTTCATTTAAATTTAGAAAATCAGACTTTATTGTCGTTTAGACAGTTCAAGAGTGGATCCAGTGGAGTGACCCTGTCTGACTCAATTGGAAGATATAACTGAGAATCATCAGCAAAGCAATGAAAAGGGTTGTTGTGTTTTCTAAAAATGGACCCCAAAGGCAACATGTAGAGATTAAAAAGCAGTGGACCTAAAATAGACCCTTGAGGGACCCCACAGATCCGAGTCTGAAAAGATGAAACGTTTCAACAAAGAAGACTCCGTCCAAAGAGCATGACTCAACCTTGTTAGATTCATCTACCTGGATTGTTGAGCAGCATCAGGACAAAGTCAGACATTAAAAACAACAGAAGCTGACCAAAGTGCTCTACACAAAAAATGGTCCAGGAATATGCAAATAAATGAGACAATTCATAGAAACCACAAAAGTAAAATACAGTTCAAATAATGCACAGTACAGATTTAAATTAGCGTCATAACTCTATCTGGTTTAAATGTCCTGAAATAAAGATGAGTCAGTAATGAAGTATTTAAAGTGCCAATTGTTAGAACTGTTCTGACGTGACTGTTCAACAACAGTCCAGTCACCTTTGGTCTTTAATCTACATCTGTCCAGGAGCACCGTCTCACCTGACCTCAGAACTGCTAGTTGTTGTGTGTGTGTGTGTGTGTGTGTGTGTGGGGGGGGGGGGGTGTCTTTGACTAAAAATACAATTCCATCAGTTTAAGTTCTTCTAACGCACGTACCATTGAGTATATTTAAACAAAATCAACTTAAACCATAATTTAAGTTAGGACATTCTAATAAGTTGTTTGATTGATCAAACTTTATTGTAAATGTCATAAAATGTCTTCTGATAAAGTTCTGTCCATTTAACTAGATTTCATCTAAATCAACCACGTTAACTAGAGTCTGCATTTTCATCTCTACTAAAGCAGCAGCTTAATTTTTTAACAAACCTTTTTCTGTTTTTCTCATTTTGATGAAATGCAGTCAGGTGTTTTGTCACGTTTTGTTTCTACTGAAGATTAAATATAGTTCCTTTAGTTTTAACCTTGTTCTCTTGTGTAACATAGCAGTTGTTGTATTACCCTTCCCTAATAACTGATGGCCGTGTGTGGTTTATATGCAAATGACGACTATATGCAAATGATCTGACCCATTCAGGTGAGTCATTGTGGAATGAAGGTGTGATTTCCGTTCCTGTTTCTGGATGCAGGCGCATCAGACCCACCTGTGGAGTTATTGCTTAAAAGTCTCTCTTGCGTGGTTGGGTTTAGGTGTAATTACCAACGAAAAGGATTTGGACAATGTTAATAGCAGGTAAATATTTGGGTCGGCGTCTTGTTCCTTGACACACCTGCTGTTGTTGAACCGGTGTCGTTATTATGATGAAGTTTGATGATTAGTTGACGACAAAGTGTTCTCTTCATTAAGATGTCTCGTGCTGGGAACATGACTTCCTTGGCATTGCGGCAAAAGATTGTGATCTCTCAGCCAAAGGTGATGGTGGTGGTGGTGGGGGGGGGGGGACAATAAACATGATAGATTTATTGGGAGCTATTTTTGTGGGGCAAACATATTATTAGTAGTAATAGTGTACCCTCCCATTGAGACCGTTCTCATGCATGTCAGGCGGAGTTATTCACCACTGTACCACTGTGCTGTTACACGTGTTCACAGGAAGTTATTATTCAGGCAGCCCCCCACTGTGTTGCTTTAAGCAGGTGTCCTTTGAACTAAACCACTGTTAGGCTAATGTGTGGGGGTGGTGGGGGGAGGGGGGACGGGTGACTGCATAAATAGTAAACATGGTTTCTGTTTTTGGTATTTCCTAATGGTTTCCTCTGAGGGAGAGGTGGCTCAGAGGTTAGAGAAGGTGAGTCTGCAATTGAGAGGTCACAGGTTTGAACCCCCTTACCCTTTATACAAAATTTGGGTGGGGAAGGTGAAGCACCCACATCTGCCTCCACCCTTATTTGCCCCACCATGGGCCCTTGAGCAAGGTCCCCAAAACTCCACAACCCCCTGTCCCACCACCTTCGCAGCCAAAGGTGAGGACAGAGTCAGACATCTTGTTACGTTGTTTATTTGTCATGTACAGGTTAACACAAGGTCGACAGTGCAATGAAATGTTCATGCAGGTGGAAAAAGTTATAATGAAAACAATAAAGGATTTAAAAAAAAGAGTGAGTCGGCACGGAGCTCTCAGTGGTTCTGTGGCACATGTGACGTCAACGTGACGTCATTGTGACGTCATCATCTATAACCTTTGATTCTGGTTAATATTAACTGACTGCTAGCCTAAACGAGTATAAAGACACATTTGTCTTGAGAAAAAGAGTTTAGTTGTTATTTTAGTGTCTTGTCTGAGCAGATGTAGATCGTTTCAGACATCTAGTTGTTATTTTCCTTCAGACCAGTTTCATGAAGCCTCTCTGTGCACCTAATAAATAATTTTTATTTTTCAGCTATAGGGTTGTAATTTAAAAAAGTAAGTTAATATCATTATTTATCTGCTCCTCAGATAAATGTTAGGAATGTTTCTGTTCAGTGCCCTGAGATGACTTCTGTTGTGACTTGGCACTATATAAATAAACAGAATTTAATTTAATTTAATTTAATTTAATTTAATTTAATTTAATTTAATTTAATTTAAAGAGTTCTAATATTTGCTTTAGAATACATTCAAAACTTTTTACTGTTTTATGTAGGTCAACATATTTTTTAAATGTCTAGTTTTGTTTTATTTAATCTGCTAACTAACAGAAATGCAACGCTGATGTTTAAAAAGTGGAGTACTGTATTAAAAACATGTCTTGTTAAAAAGAAATATTCTGAAGTGGTGCAAATCTGACATTGTAAGGATGGCGCCCTCTGGTGGTCCCCCTGCATCTGCACTCTCCAGTGTCTCTCACTGTTGATTGCCCTGATCTGTATCACCTGTGTGTCTCGTCCAGGTGTTTGTAGTCTTGTAAATCTGTCTGTGAGTCCTGCTCAGTGTCGGTGCACAGTCTGGTGTATCTCCTGTGTTCCTGGTATCCTGTCTTGTAAGGTTTGCTGCCATGTCAGCTGTTTATTTTTCCTTATTAAAAGTATATTTAATTTCACGACCTGGCGTCCGAGTCCTGCCTGCACCAATGGGTCCGTTCCTGACCTGCCTGAAATCCATGACAGACATTTGATTGAATATAACAAAATTCAATTTTAAAATAATTAGATATGGATATATTAGATATATATAATTTAATATTTTTAAATTTATTAATTTATTTAAACTTTTATTTAAATGATTGTAATGGACACACTTCATTGTTTTTAGGAAAAATAAGACAGCTACAGTTTGATCCAGTGAGACAGGATATGAAGACAAAAAGACACTGGACACGGGTTGTGTGGACATTTGAGTCCACAGTTTAGTTAATTTAGGAAAATAAAAGTCTGGTTTTACGTGTGAAACACATGAATAGCGCCCCAGCCTTTATCAATACAAGTTCTGAAGTCGATGAGTTCTGTTTGCAGATGTGTAAAGGTACGTACACTTACTGCCTCACTTACGCTTCATTATCTTTTGAGCTCTTTACAATATTTTTTTTAATCAAAAACAGTTGTGGTTTTCTTTTGTCCATTAATCATTTTCATAAGATTTTTCCGTATTTTGCCACGTACATTTTTAGACCTCAACACAAAATATGACTCCGTTTAAATCTTGATATTTGACACAAAGAGTTGTTGGATAATAAAATTAGCTAAAATGACTGCACACAATGAAAAACACATCTTGATTTTTTTTAAATTTTATTTTAAAAACATCTGGAACGTAATCCTTTGGAGTCAGTTTTGTTGTGAACTTTAATTGTAAATGGGGCTGCACAGAAAACTTTATGGGTTTAAAACTAGATCTAACAAAAAGTGTAAGTCTTTCCTTTTCTGTTTGTTTTTAGTTTGCAACAAGTTCAAACTTGGTCTAAAACATGTTCGGTTGATGAGTTGCTTAAAAGTCTCTGCAGTGCTCCTTACAGCTGCGGTGAGAGATTCACGTTGCTGCAGACAAATTAAGTGCAGAGAAGTTCGATTCCCTCACGAGCTCATGAAACTTGGAAGTGAGCTGCATCAAATGAGCAATTAGAGTGCAAAATAACTTATAAATATATACTAATTCTCAGAACATAACACTCAAACTAGAACTTTTTTTAAAAAGTAAAATGAGCAGTATCTGAGCTCTAATAAACTAATGAAAGAGTTAAATTTGACAACATAGTAACATTTCCTAAATAAAATTACAGCAATATTTATCAGACTTTTCAAATTTGTGTTTAAAATTAAAATATTTTTCTCTGGTGTAAAATCCAACATCTTGTTAATCATCTTCGTCGTCGTCAATGTCTCCGTCCTCTAACAGTCGGGCCTGCGAAGCCTGCCGCTGTGCCACCGCCGTCACCATGGCAGCGCCCTTCCCACTGCCGTCCTCCGAGATGAGGAAGGTGATTTTACACTTGGGGGCGAGGGTTTCCACTGTTTTCTGTAGCTCTGTGCTGAAACTAGAAAACCAAAGGAAGTGAGATGTTTGGAGGTCTGACATGGCTGCAGCAACGTCACACAATAGTTTCACAAATCACAGATAATAAAACATTTTACTTTCAAATTAAACACAGTACACTAGTTTTTGTTGTTTTGTTTTCAGCCTGGGAGTGACCACACTTTTTCATCATGCAGCTCCTTTTAAACTGACCAGGTCAAAGTGATCTACCTGCTATAAGACCCCGTTTACACAGAGTGTTTTTCACTGTTTATTGGGGGTAATAAAGAAAAACTGGGCAGGTTTACATGAAAACGCTGTCGTTTCCATGTCAGTTAGGTTGCCAGATAAGAAATTATGAACTATAGTACTGTGGCTTTAAAATTATAGTATTTTGAACTTAACTGTCATATGTGCTGAGTAAAGATATTCTAAGATGAGGTGTGTGTTGTATTTGTTGAACATGTGCACAGAAAAGGAGGGGTTAAATAAGACATTTTAACTTTATCTGGCAACCTTCATGGTGCACAGCTGCATTCTGCGTGCATGCAGCGTTTGCATGACAGTTAGTCCAAACTGGTGAACACACTAACGTCTCTGAGGAGCCTTGATTTTATTAGTTTTGTTCCAACAAGCTGAAAAAGGGTGAGCAGCACAAAAACACTCTGCTCTCTGCCGTTTATTATAACTGTTGTTATTTATTATAACTGTTGTTGTTATATTTATTATAACTGTTGTTATTTATTATAACAATTGTTATTTATTATAACTGTTGATATTTATTATAACTGTTGTTATTTATTATAACTGTTGATATTTATTATAACTGTTGTTATTTATTATAACTGTTGTTGTTATATTTATTATAACTGTTGTTATTTATTATAACTGTTGTTATTTATTATAACTGTTGATATTTATTATAACTGTTGTTATTTATTATAACTGTTGTTATATTTATTATAACTGTTGTTATATTTATTATAACTGTTGATATTTATTATAACTGTTGATATTTATTATAACTGTTGATATTTATTATAACTGTTGTTATTTATTAAAACTGTTGTTATTTATTATAACTGTTGTTAGAGCAGAAAAACTTTGGACTGCAGCTGCCTGGAGTGCACGTGCCATGTCACACTTGGTGGACTTCACACCTCGGTGGGGGGTTCCTCTGAAAACCTCCACTCTGAGACCTGGACTCAGAAACCTTCAGTTTCAGAGGATGAGGATGTCGTCTGTAAATGAACGAACGTTTCACGTCGTGTAAACGGGGCTGCCCTGTCTGTCAGTCAAGAGACAACTTCGGCTGATGTCTATTTTTTAATGCCATGAGATCTACCCAGAATACCTTTGAGATCGACCAGTAGATGGCAATTGTCGTATTGGGCACCCCTGCTGTAGAGGATGTTAACTGACCTGTTGAAATCAGAGACTAACCACTGCGAGGACGTTTTTTTTTAATCATCACCAACTTAAGTTTGATCCTTCGTCAAAAATGAAACTGATTTTCTAAGTTCTATAACCTGGTAATTAGCATTCTTGGGCCAGTCATAAGCAGCTAGTGCAGGTTTCTCTTGTAAATGAGTCCTCAAGGCTCAGTGGGAACTAACCTGTATAAATAAAGGTTGAACGAAGAAAAAAGCATGTTGACACAACTTGGATGTCAGCTAGCATCCGATGAACATCTCTGGCCAGCCACCAGTAATAACAACAGTAAAGATTTACTTTATGTGTTAATGATTGAAAAAACGTGGCTCTGCCCTAGAAGGACCAGTTAAAAAGACAAATTATAAATTAGATTTTTGAGATTGGTTACAAATGGAGCGAGGTTTAGAGGTGAGGAGAAGTATGGGTGTACAAGACGGTTGAAAAAGACTTTAAAACAGAGAAAAGTCTTGAGTTTAATACTGGACAGTGGAGTTATTTGATATGTTATCTCCTTATCTGACCTTCAAGCAGTTTTCAAGTTGCTTCTTTAGACACATTTTGTTTCCACTTCTTTTGTTGAATTAATAAAAAATGATAAATATTGCAGTTTGACAAACATTAACCAATATGTTTAGACGATTAAAGATGCGTCTATGATTAGCTGAGACCTTGTCACACAGTACATCAGCCAGAGCTGTGGTTCTCAACTGGTCCGGTTTTGGGTCTTCCATTACTCTAATGACAAGCCGAAAGGATGATGCAGCAAATAGGACCTGTGTCAAAACTGTTCATTACTGGAGATCATTCTTGACTGATACTTTCAAATACCCTCAGATAGTTCAAAGAAGAACTGATTAATTTTTTTGGATTATAAGAAGGTTTGGTTCCTCGTTACTTACTTGGGATGCATTCTATATACTGTCCCATCGACCCCTACGAAGGTCCGCAGAATGTCCACCCCTCGGTTTTCACGAATACGGTCGGCGATGGTTGCCAGGGCAGCAGCACAGAGATGAGCAGAACGTTTGCAGATGGTCTGACAGACAAGTCGGACCACATGGAGATCCACCGGACTAGGTTTCAGACCCAGCTTAGTCAGAATTTTACTGGCATTTTCTAGACCGTTGTCTGGCCTGGTTGAAAAACATGTAGAGAAAAACAAACAAGAAGTTGCACAGATAATAAAATGGACAGTTTTAGAATCCCTAGAACTCTAAAATGAAATGCGAGGTTACTTACTTTTCGATATCTGAGGCGTATTTTGTCTCAAACTTCCTCCGAGTCAGAGCATCAGACACATTTCCATCAAACAGGAGCTTGTCCTTCGCTAATTCTTTCAACACCAGCCAAATAATGTCTCCCAAATACATGCCGCTGATCATCTTCTCAAAGCTAAAGGATGACACAACACCAAGAGAGAATTGGAAAAGCATTTTCTGGATTTTTCTGCCCTCTAGTGGTCAAACATTTCAATGCAGCAGCTTTTTAAAAAATTTTTAATTCATCCATCCATTATCTTTCACCCGTTTCTTCCATTTTGGGTCACGAGGGTCGCTGGTGCCCATGTCCAGCAAGCATTGTGCGACACCAGCTCAACAGCTCTACTAGTTCCGCCACCGTACCGCCCTGAAACAATCTAGTGTTTTATATTAGATGGAACTTTACAAACATCTGCTGCCATAATCCTTTTTATTTGCCACTGACACCGTCTGATAACTGATCAACCAGCTCGACGTCTGCCTTAAAGCCATACTTCGAAGTTGTTCGACAAGCAGCGGTGAATGCAGAGCAGCAGGAAAATACTCTCGCAAAGTACGAGGCAGATGCTGGATTATCTTGTCTTCATAAATTACACAAACAAAATGATTGTGTTCTGCATCTGGAACTCGAGAGGAGCCAGTTGAGGTGGTTCAGGCATCTGGTAAGGACGCCCCCATGGCGCCTCCCTAGGGAGGTGTTTCGTGCATGTCCAACTGGGAGGAGACCCCTGAGAAGACCCAGGACACGCTGGAGAGACTATGTCTCTTGGTTGGTCTGGGAACACCTTGGAGTTCTCCCAGAAGAGCTGGAAGAGGCTGTGGAAAGAGATGTCTGGACCACCCTGCTGCTAACCCCACAACCCGACTTCGAAATAAGTTGAAGATAATGGATGGACGGATGGATGGACAGACGGATGGATGGATGGATGGATAGATGGATGGATGGATGGATGGATGGATGGATGGACAGATGGATGGATGGATGGATGGATGGACAGATGGATGGATGGATGGATGGATGGATGAACAGATGGATGGATGGATGGATGGACGGATGGATGGATGGACGGATGGATGGATGGATGGATGGACAGATGGATGGATGGATGGATGAACAGATGGATGGATGGATGGATGGATGGATGGGTTTGGGACTTTTTAACACAGCATGGTGGCTCAGTTTGTAGAGCTGTTGCTTCTCAGTGAGTAGGTTGCTGGTTCAAATCCCGGCCAGGGACCTTTCTAGGTGGAGTTTGCATGTTCTCTCCATGCATGCGTGGGTTTACTCCAGTTTCCTCTCACAGATCAAAAACATGCATGTTAGGCTGACTGGTAACTCTGAATTGTCCCTAGGTGAGAGAGAGAGAGTGAATGGTTGTTTGTCTCATTTGTCTCTATGTGTCCCTAAGATGGACTGGAGACCTGTCCAGGGTGTCCCCCGCCTCTTGCACAGTGATAGCTGGACATGATCACCAGTGACCCCTGTGACCCAAAAAGGCAGAAGCAAGTAAGACAATGGATGGATGGATGGATGGATGGATGGATGGATGGATGGATGGATGGATGGATGCATGCATGGACTTTTTGACTGACTGCCAAGCTTACGTGTGGACTCCAGGATTGATAGAAGCTTCGTCCACCTCCTTGTCATATTTGGTCCAGATGTCATCGAGTGAGTTGTCGTCTCCAAAGCCCCCCCACTCCGTGTTGATGCACATCTTTCCGTCCTCCCCCTCCACGCGCTCCACGTTCTTCATGTCCTCCATGTAGCAGGCGTTGGTTCCTGTCCCTGCAGAGGAGGAGGAGCACGACATCAGACAGAGCAGCTAAAACCACATTTCCACACGCACTGTTGTTAGTTTATTAAAGCAAACTGGAGAAAACAACAAAGTATTAATTCATTTTTTATTTGAATATTTTGGTATTTATCTACAGATGTGCTTGTTCTATACCTTTCAGTAAATAATGTATTTGTCACTTTGGTTGCTTCGTGTCTGCTTGCTGTAATTTGAGGTGTCTGTCTGTGATTGCGTACCAATGATGATGCCGATGTCACAGAATTGGTCCGGGTAGCCGCAGCTCATCATCGTACCCACCGTGTCATTCACCATGACAACTGAGCCGATGTTAAAGTCCTGCAGGCAAAACGACAGGGTCATGTCCTGTACATCTGACTGACTCACAAAAAGAAGCTTTTAAACTTTTAAACAGGCTGAACTGCTTGAAGTGATGATCATTCAGATCTCGGAGCGTGTTTGACTGACCCCTCTCCTCTGGATGGCCTTTTTCAGCAGCTTCACCACATCCTTCCCCTCCACCCCGGAGCAGCTGAAGCCTTTAGTCCAGCGGATCAGGACACTCTGCGCACAAACCCGACACAAATGTCACATTTGCTGCACAATCAGAGTTCTTCTGGAAGATCATGTGCACAAACTGTTGTGCGTCTGTGATAGAGACCTTGTCGACTTCCTTTTGTTCACAGGGGAAGGAGAAGGTGAAGCCCAGAGGAAGAGTTTTTCCTTTCAGCTTTTGGGAGTCGATGAATTCGCTCAGGCAGGCGACGATGTGGTCGAACAGCTACACAGACGGACAGACGTTGTTCAGGACTGACACTGGAGACTCTGCACCTCCAACAACTTTAAACTCTCCACAGGAATACATCAAAGGAAGTGGATTACTTCTAACTTCATACACATGAATGCTTCTGGAAGACCTGGGATCACTCGTGGTTCTAAAACAACGGCTGTTTTCCACACGTGTGTTCTACCTGTTTTCCGGAGCCCGTCATGATTTCCTGCGGGATGGGGCAGATTTTACTGTTCATCTTCAGCACCTTCTGCTCCATCACTTGAACATGAAGGACCCGGAAGTTTGTCCCGCCCAGGTCCAACGCCAGGAAGTCGCCTGTCTCTGCAGGGAGAAGCAAACAGCTGCTGATGGTTTGGTTTCAAAAGTGTCAGTTTATTCAAACGTTTTAAGAAAAGTGACTTTAGTTCTAACAACAAAGTCCATGCTCAATAATCCAGGTATACAATCCAACATTTTTCAGTCAGGTCATCTGGACAGTTTCTTTTTTTGTGCTGAAGCATTTCGCCTTCGATCCAGAAGGCTTCATCAGTCAAGGAAACACACAACTAAACTGATTCTTCCCCTCCATTGAGGGCCGGCAATGGAGGAGGGGGCGTGACAAAGAGACCATCTTAGAACCAACATAACTGGTTTGTTCCACTTTGGAGTAAGCTGTTGGGGGAAGAATCAGTTTTGTGTGTTTCCTTGACTGATGAAGCCTTCTGGATCGAAGACGAAATGTTTCAGCACAAAAAAAGAAATTGTCCAGATGAACCTGACTGAAACATGTTGGATGACTTCAGTTCTGTTTTCACTCAAAGGTTTTTCCTTAAAACCGTAATTGAAATATGTTTTTTTACTTTTTAACGTCATATCTCCTTCAGAAATCACTGTAGGAACATAAACATGTGACCACCAGAGACGTCTGCCACCTTAAGTTTTACGATACACCAAAGTTTACATCTCCGTTCTGTCTGCCTCTCATTCACTGACAGGGAGTGAGAGACACAGGTGTGTGGTTACCGTGGTGACCCTAATGAGCCCCTGGCAGCAGTTTAAACATTTATTTTGATTTTGGTTCTCTTTACACTTCTTAAACAGTGAATATTTAAAATGTAGGTGTTTTTCTGAGCGTAGACTGTGTCATGTGTCTGCACGGCATCCTGCAAAGGTTCTGCACAAAGTTTCTTTTTTTAAAGACTTTTCTGGTGAAAATGAACATTAAGTGTTTTTGGACTAAAAGGTTGTACCTGTCCCGTTCGGCTTTTCCCTCACGAAGGTCGGCAGCATCTTGACGGCCGCCCTGTGATGTGTTTTTTTCCCCAAGCCTTTGTTCATATCCTTCAGGAACCTTTTGGAAATCTCCCTCAGCTTCTCTTCAGAAAGTACGAAGGGCTCCAGGTACTTATCGACCTGCGCAGAGGCAAAGGTGCAGAAATCTTTCCATGCAGAAAATCTACTAAACGCACACTCAACCCCGTCATTGTCTCTCCAGGTTCAGACGCTGAAACGTTTGGGAGGCTTGAAGAAGGAAGCAGGTTTCGTTTTGCTCACAGTCTGCAGCTTCACAAGCAGCAGCTCAAACGTTCCAGCTCAGAGTTCGAGGACATGTTGAGTTCCTGCAGAGCAGGGGTGTCAAACCCACGGACAAAAGGGGGCCAAAATTAAAACCTTGTTCAAACTAAGGGCCGGCTTCAGAATCGACATTAGCTCAAGTTAGATACCAACATCTTCTCTTGGTTGCAGGTTCCTCAGAAAGAGTTTGATTGGTCTCATTTGATGTTCGCTGTTGCACTTTTGACATCATGATCAAAGACGACTGAACAAAATTCAAGTGATAAAAGTATTTTACATTTAAAATAACATGTTGGGGGCCAGACAAGGTGTCAACGAGGGCCACTTTTGGCCCCCGGGCCTTGACTTTGACACATGTGCTGCAGAGGAATGATGAATAAACACAGACAGCAAATCTGAGAGGAAGAGACGCCATTTACATCAGGAAAAGATCAGAATTTAAAAAACCTGGAAAACATGATTAAAAGCCAACAAAGAGAAAAATCCTGGCTGATTGATACTTTTAGTCGATAACTGATTGACAAGTGGAATATACATTTGATGAGAAATAATGCTTCACAGTTCTTATTAAAAAAAACAACTAGTAAAATAAGATTTTAAAAAAGAACAAACTTTACTTGGTTGATTTTTATGTTTATTAAAAAATGGACAAAATTCAGACTTATCAATCTTATTGGAGGGGGAGCGGTGGTGCAGAGGCTAGAGAGGGTGAGCCCATGTTCAGAAGGTCACTGGTTCAACTCCCTGGAATGACAACATCAAAAATGTGGGTGGGAAATCTGAAGCACCCACACCTGCCTCCACCCTCATTTGCCCCTCACTGGGCCCTTGAGCAAGGCTCTTAACCCCCACAATCCGCTCCCCTGGGCTCTCCAGATAGCAGCTCTCTGCTCCACACAGAGGGCTGTGGTAGCTCGGTGGTCTGCGCTTGTGTCAGGAAGGACATCCAGCATAAAAAGAATCACCAAGTCTTTGTTCAATGTGGTGACCCCTGAAGAAGGGAGCAGCCGAAAGAAGAAGAAGAAAAAATAAAAACATCTTATTGGACAACAAAGTTCATGCTCAATCATCCAGGTACCAAATCCAATAATTCTCAGTCGGGTCATCTGGACAGTTTCTTTTTTATAGAGACGTTTCACCCTCTATCCAGAGGGCTTCATCAGTCAGAGGAGTCCCAGTAAACTGTTTCCCCACCAAGCAGTAAACTCCTTACGTGGACCAACCAGTTTGCTGGAGCTAAGATGGATTCTGGGGGCCGTCCTGTCCCCCGTCGACTCCTCCCAGGCAGGCACAGCCAAAGTGGTTCAAAGCAACAAAGTTCATGCTCAATCATCCAGGTACCAAATCCAATAATTCTCAGTGGGGTCATCTGGACAGTTTCTTTTTTATAGAATCTTATTGGAGATTTAACCCTTTAGCTTCAGGAAGATTCACTGCAGGATGCGTAGAAGTCTGTCCTCTTTATTACAGCCTGAACTTTGAGAAAACGTTTTTAGGTAAAATCATTTCAAAATCTAAATGTTTGAGTTTTTAAGGATCAAGCATGAAAGTTAAGAAATCTAATCTTTCTTGTTCCTGTTGAATCTAGCAAAGTAAAAAAAAGTTCATGATTTGTGTGATTTACTGAGCACACCGTGTTTCCAAACAGCTGAAGGCAACTCGGAGCTGAAGATAAGAAACGAGAAATGAAAGGCAGCTTATCGTGTGGTGAGGGCAGGATGAAGATCACCGTGACACCAAGAGAAAAACTACTGCGTATCTTAAAAAGACAAGTTAGGTCTGAAACTCTACAGATTACGGATTTACTGCTCAGAATGTTTCTCGTTTTTTTATAACCACAAATTAGAAAAAGGGGAAACAAAGTTGAAATAAAGAAAAATAAAACTTTTAAAAATTGTGATATTTATTTATTGTCTCCTTGCAGATGGAGCTGTGGTAGCTCAGCGGTCATGTGGCCCTGAGGCTGCAGGTTCGAGCCCAGATTGCTTCAAGAAGGACGTCTGGTGCAAAGTTGGCAAATCGTTCAGACACGCTGGCTTGCTGCGGCGACCCGTGAAGAAGGTGCAGCTGACAACAAACATCTAGCAGAAGCTCTGAACATAAAGAATGTTTGGTCTCATCGGGACATTCAGGTGTTGTTTTGTCCCAGTCGTCCTGCTAACGTGTCGTGACCTCAGGACAAGGTTAACATGAAGCTGCTTTAGTGCACGTGAGGCTTGTGCATGTATCTCTGCTGAACAAAAGTTTCCCAAAGCGATTCTTGTTTAGTTCTGGCTGCTCCATGGACGATCTGCGTGATCATAAATCATCAGATCCTCCAAATTCAACATGTTTAAACTCGTGTGGTATTCGTAGAGTTGGATCAGATCCCGGACGAACGTTTCACTCCTCTCCTCCTTTCAGCTCCACGAGTTGAAGGGATTTTCCAGAAACGAGTTCGCTCGTGTCTCATTCTGCTCATTCATGTTTTATCCTCTTTATCTTGTGCTGTTTTATATCCAGAGGAGGCGAGGCCTGATTCATAAACAATATGTTTTACTCCCACTTCCAGCACTGGTTACCACCACATCAAATTCCAGTTCATTATCTGTAAAACGGACTGAATTCCACTTGAGGCTGTAACAGTCAGTGGACAGACTCTAAATATTTACCAGCAGCTGATGTACATCCAGTGATTACGTTTATTAAAGTTTCATTCAAATCCATCTGGTGGGTCATGAGTGATTTTGCCCACGGGTGACTTCATTTAAAATAAAATAAAATAAAATAATAATTTTAAATTTTTTTTTGGGGGGGGGGTCCAGGTTTAGGTTTGTGTTTTGGATTCTGTTTCTTGCATTTATGATTCAATGCAATAAAATAAACACATTTAAAAGGTAACAGATCATTGTAATACTTGGTGTATTTATATACTGACTTTAATTGCTCCATGTCCGGCCCCTGAGCTGCTGGCTGTCAGTACCTGTGGCCCCCTGAGCAGCTTTACTAGTATATAGCTGTACTATTCCGCTAACCAAAAAGTTAGCTTTGCTTACACTGAACTGCTAAGATGATCATCAGTCTACGTCACGTCTTCCACTTCTTACAGCTGAAGATGCGTCGACCAATGACGTCGTCACGTGGACACGTAGTCAGCCAATAGGGTGCCTAACGGACTTTTCGAGACACGCCCACAACAAACAGGAACAAGCTTGAGAATATTGTTAGGAGACTTAAAGTTGACAAACCTAATAATTAGTGGAAGCTAATTCCTGTAACAGTTTTTAAAGTTAGCAAAAACGCTAATCCGCTAAATTAAAAATTAGTTCCACTATTAGCTGTTAGCGTGTTAGCAGAACTGTGCCCACAACTGCCTAAAGTGATTATAAACTATGCATTTTTTTTTTTTTTACCCGCGTCCCCTTTCAGGGTTGCGGGGGTCACAGGTGCCCGTGTCCAGCAGTCCTTGTGCGAGAGATGGGGGACACCCTGGACAGGTCTTCAGTCCCTCACAGAGACAAACGACACAAACAACCATTCACTCACATCTAGGGACAATTTAGGATTACAGATTAACCCAACTGTGGGAGGAAACTGGGAAACCCACACATAACGCCCCATTCCCAACGTGTAAACTTCACACAGAAAGCCAAGGAGGCGAACCTGCGACATCCTATGATATAACTTTTGCACATGAGACAAGAAAATGTTTTGTTGTTTGTTTAATAATAACATGTGTACAGTACATAATACCTCTCAGAGACGTTTTACCAGATGTAAGAACAAATAAAGTAAAAACACTAAAAGATTTTAGTGGAAGTTTATTAGATAAAATTATTTTTCTTTTATACTGTACACAATGTATCCTGGCTCTAATTAGTTTCAAAATTCCTGTGTTGTTTCATGTTCACTTGTTTCTATCATTTATTTCCATTTTTATTTGTTTGTTTTTCACATTTTCTAGACGTACACACTCCTCTCTTCTATTTATAACTTTATTGAACAACCAGTGGATGATTTTATCCAAAAATTGAGTAAAACAGCCTCAATCATTTGATTATTTAGAGAATCATAAATATAAACTAATACAAAACGTTTAAATGTACAAACTTCGATAAAAACTATTAGGCAACAAGATGAATCAAATCCAGTATAAAGAGTTTATACAAATACTAAATCCTCATTTATGTCAATTTCTCAAATGTTTATTTTTACATTTGAAAATATTACTTTTAATTAATAAAGTTATTTACTAATAAACCAGATTCACGATGTGAAAACTTTTCCCCCAAAGTATTACAAGTGCCCAATTAAAGTCTCCGTGTAAATGAGCCATTTCAGATTTATTAGTTTTTGTTTCATCACCAACGGCTGCACGACGTTGCTGTGAATGAAGAGCGTCAGCTGCAGCTCCCACCAGCTGATGGACCTGCGCAAAGAGCAGCTGC